TAAAGGGAGATAGAACAAAACATATTCTACCAATGTTCAACAAGTTTACTCATGATCTCTTTACAAAATCACTTCCAAGAAAAGTTTTTGAATAGTTGATACACAAGATTAGACTCCGTCGTCTTAAAAATTGTATGCATGATGGAGAGAAATAAATATTTATGAATGATGTACTCTTTTTTCTTTCACTAGGTTTTTATCTCATAAGGTTTTTCTAATAAGGAGATGCACATTTTAAATATTGGACATCCAAGAGGAGTGTTATGAATAATAATTAGTGACTCAATTAGTAGATGTCAATATTTACTATCAATTATTATCATTTATATTTTGTTATGTATTATTCCCTTATTATGTAATTGTTCAGCTATTAACTGTACTTATAAATAAACTAATTTTCTCCCAAAGATAATATATCAATTAGATTCTTTTATTTATCTCATATTATCTTATTTATTCTCTCTATTTTCTTTCTTTCTTTTATAACAAATAAGAAGTTTAAAAGAATTCTTAAAAATAATTTCATTGAAGAAAAGTTCCTAAAAGTGTAACATATTTGTATTTCTTTAGGAAGAAAAATGTTTATTATAACACTATAAGGGAGGGTGATATAATATTTCCATATTTGAGTAGATGATATGTAAATGATGTTTTTGCTAATATTTTTTTAGTAACACATGTTAACAAAATTTTAATGAATTTTTTAAAAAAATATATATAAAATTTTATACATTAAAATTATCGAAAACTATAATTTTTAATATAAGATGAGAAAATAATGTAATATTTACATCACTCGAATGTAATTTACTCCTTTCTAAAACATCAAAAATTTCAAAATCAATTATAATAGAAAAAAAAGTAATTTTTTGCACCTTTTTAAATCATACTTAATTTATTTTTGTAACAATTCTCCTCACACATTATTTATCTTTTAACCTACTTTTTTCTTTCTTAACACATTATTCATTTTTTTTCTTTATTTGTATAGACTTCTACCTTCAAACTATTCACATATCTTTAATATTTTCTTCTTTTTTCATTTTATTATATTTTTATTCACTTATATCTTTCTTAAATAATAATACTAATAATGATTGCCTAGAAATTGATTTTATATATTAATTTTGCATGTAGAAATCAAAAATGGATCTAATTTCATTTTTTTATTGTATAAATAAATATAAATTATTTAATTAAAAGAAATTTAAAATTAGTTTGAACAAAAATTATTAGTAAATAAGTTGGATAAAACAAGAATTTCAGATAAATTTTCTAATTGAAAACTTAAATAGATAATAGAATATTTTTTAATATAAAAAAATATAAAAAAAATACTTGGAGAGTGAAAATTTTCTCTTTTTTCAGAGAAAATATTTAAACGAGGATGAAATTAGAAACGATTAAAAGTTCCTTGAAAAGTAGAGAACTTTTTTTTGTTAACTTAAAGAATTATTCTACTTTATATGCATAGTGTAATTTTAACCTTATCTTATTTTATTTATAATAAAATGAACAATTTTTCTATAAATATGCAATAATTATATAATAATTTTTCAAATAATTTATAATAAAATTGACTCACTAATAATATTGTTGTTTCAATTTTCTTACATTATTATTAATTATTTTCTAATTAATTATAATTATAGAATAGTGCATGCTCATTTATTGAAATAAATATTTATAATTTTATCTTATATTACTTATAATAAAGCAAAAAAACTTTATCTATAAATATGTAATAATTATATAATAATTTTTAAATAATTATAATAAAATTGACTCGTTCATAATATTAGTGCATGGTCATTCATTAAAATAAATATTTATTCTTAACTCTTAAAACTCCAATGATATAAAATGTCTGCAAAATAAATACTTATAATTATGTTCCATTTTTAACTTATAAAATTCTTGACTTTATTTTTCAAAAGAAAAAAAAAAAATATATATATATATATATATAGAGTTAATCACTTATACACTGTCACTTGTAAAAAAAATTTTTACTGACAACCAATTATATCTTTTAATTGTGTCATGTCACTGTATAAAATATATATGTAAGGGAGAGACAAAGAATCTTTCTCATTCCTTAATGTTATAATTTATTTTCTCTTTTTCATTTTTTCCTCTATCAAATTATAAATCTATTTTATCAAAATATTATTTTCTTAATCTATGTTTATTTTTATTTTTAAAAATTTTGAATAAAATATTTATATTTAAACTTTTTTTTCGTTCTTCATTTTCTTTGGGCTAGATTCTGTTGTTACCGATTTTATTGTTTTTTTTTTTTTTTGCATATTTGTTCAATGTTATGGCAACATAAAAGGTTGTTATACCTTATTACTAAAATAATCAACATAATGTTATTGTAATGTTTTTGTTATCAAGTATAGTATTATTTAGGAATGTTCATAAAATTATTTTAAAAACTAAATTAAACTATAAAAATATTGAACTATTTTTTTATAAAAACTAAACTAAGTTATATTTTAAGTTCATTTTAAAAAAATTATGCACACTATAAAATATAGTTTAGTATACTATAGTTATAAAAAAAAATTATAATAACTTTGCATAATTTTTTATTCAATTTACACAAGTAATTATTTTTATTATAAATAAGACTACATATTTTAAACATTTTTTAAATGTTGTTATCCAATGCATAATTAAAATATTGTATTTTTAATAATTATTTGATAAATTATATTTAGAATATTTTTTAATTTATTTGATTATATAAATAATGTATTAAAATTAAACTTTCTTTTAAAACACATCGACTATAAATTAAATTATTTATCACTTTAGAAAATTGTTACAGTAATTTTAAATCATTTTTTTAATTTATCTTGTCAATGTATGATTTATATTTACTTTCATCTTTACTATTTTTAAATATAAGTGAATAAATGATATTTTCCGTATTTTTTTTATAAAAACTAAATTGAAGCTAAGTTTAGTCTTAAAAACTAAATTACTACAAAAATTAGTTCTGTTTAGTTTAAATCATAAGAAAAAATTTGATTAAGAGTACAAAAATAATTTAATTCAGTATAAAGTATAGTTCAACACTTGAAGTAGATGAAATATTGACTAGTGATTCTAAAGTTATTACTTATGTGAGTTTGAACTATTTTGCCTTAATTTTTTTTATAAACAATCTTTGGTAAACAATTTTGATTGATTTATTATTTGAAAGATGTTAATTTTTTTTTTCAAATCAAATCACGTTATACACATTTTAGTTTATTAATATAAATTTGAGAATAATAGTTAATTTGAAATAAAAAAATAATTCTTTATATATAAAGTAGTTTAGTTAGATTTATAGTAGATTTTTTTTTAGTTTGAATTAAATTATAGTGCAATTTGAACTTTTAGAACTATAGTTCACTAAATTAGAAAGTAGTTTAGTTTAATTTTCTAAACTATTATATAGTTTAGTTTATATGAATTATTTTTATAGTTTAATTTAGTTCAACCATTTGGACACACTAATATCATTGCATGCTTGAATTTCTTGATAATTTCAATAAATAAAAAATGATGAGTGACTATATAATGTTTAATACGACCAATATTATTAGGTGTCAATTGCATATTGAGACTACTAATAAAAATTATGGATATGAATAGATCATATTTTAAAATAAAAGTTTATAACTTAACCTATTTAAAGTTTGATGTACTTAAAAAAAAGTAAAACTTAAACTTTAAAAAAATATTTATTTAAAAAGACTAGATTTAGGCTCTGTTAGACCCTATTTATTTATGTATTATATATATATATATATATATAACATTATTAACAATATTATTAAATAGTTGGGTTTGTAATATAAATTTTTTTAGTAGTCATATGTTTGCTTTTTTTCCCCTTCATATTCATGGTTGATTATTTAGAATACTTAAAATGTAATATAAGAAATATTTAGAAAACCTTTTTTAAAAGATTATTTTCTTCATTATAAGTGTACACGAGTATGTATGAGTTTTTCTTTAATTAATTTTTTATTTTTTAATTTTAAATTTTAATAATAATGAGTAAACTATTTTTTATCATGCAAATTAAATAAAAACTCATAGGTATATTTAAAAATATATAATCATTAGCTTATTTGAAATTAAATATATGACATATTTAATGTTGTTAATGTAAAATAAGCTTTTTAGTTATGTTAATAGATGAGACCATACTTTTAAAAATGTTAATGTAAATAATAGCTCAAGTTTAAGCTTTAATTTTATAAAATATGTCTGATCTATTCTCACTTCTAGTAGAGACTCGCCTTGAAGGATTACTACTATTATTAAATAGATATCAACTTTATTTTACAAATAAATCATTTAATAAAATAAGTAATTAAAAATTATCATATTATAATTTTAATGAGTTATATAATATAAAAATTAATCTAATTTATATTTTTTTATTCAATACTAAATTGAGTTTTCAACATAAATTCAATCATTAATCACTTGATTGAATAATGTAAATTTCTCGAATATCAAGTTAAGTTAGTTAATCTAATTTATATAATAATAATCATCATAAAAAATTAGATATTATATATAATAACTTAACAAAATAAATAATATATAATTAAATCTAGTTTTAATAAATTAAAAAATATAATATAATTTAAATGAAAATAATCAGTATAAGAAAAAATAACATATATCAAACAACTTATCAAAATAAATCTTACAAAATTGAATCTAGTTTTAATAAAATAAAAAATGTACAACAATAATAATAAAAAAATTAAAGATCATAACTATAATGTATATAATAAAAAAATAAATTTAAAATTTAAATATAGAAGAAGTGTTACTTACTTAGCTTAATAGCAATTGATATAAATATCAATATATAATAAACTATGATGTGGCACAAAATATAAATAAGTACAAACATAATAGATGAAGACAAAAAAAAATTGCTCAGCTCGCTCATTGTTTTAAGGTTAAGTTCCCATTTTGTGTCTTCCCCTCCTGTTTGAGTAGGGCTTCTCCCATTGGTCGCACTCCTAACCAGCGCCGCGCTCTATCTTACGCTCCTATAGGCCACCCTCTTATCCTACTCCCACACCATTCTCTTTCAAACCCTAATTAAAATTAAAACAGAAAAAATCATCTTCTGAGATCCCTCTTCATTCTTGGATCCCTCCTCCACCCTTTCATCCAACCCTGTCGCTTTGATCACCGGGTTAGGGTTAGGGTTCGAATTCAATTTTCATATAATCGGATCAAACACTTAATCAGTGAGAGCAGAGAAATCACAGGGCTAGGGTTTCATGCTTTTGCCATTCACACTTGCTTCGCGATTGCGATGGCGGCCAATTCCGGCACCAAATACGTCTCTGTGAATCTAAACAAGTCCTATGGGCAGCATTCCACCCCCTTCGGATCCAACCGAGCGGCGCGGCCAGCCGCAGGAGCTGCTGCGATTCCCTCGCGGCCTCGGAGTTCGCACAAGGCCGGGCCCAAGCTTTCCGTTCCACCCCCCTTGAACCTCCCTTCGCTGCGGAAGGAGCACGAACGGTTCGATTCGCTGGGATCGGGGAGTGGGCCTTCCGGCTCTGGAGGTCCTGGAAGCGGGGCGAGGCCCAGTTCGTCAGGTGTGGGCTGGACCAAGCCCGTCGCGGAAGATGGGCTGTCGCGGCCTGTCATCCAAGGCAAACCGGCTGCCACCGCAGCTGCACCTGTTTCGTCAGCTGTTTTGAGAGGAGAGGATTTTCCCTCTCTGCGGGCTACCTTGGCGCCTGGACCCGGCCCAAGTCAGAAGATCCAGGAGAGTGGCAATCAGAATCAGAGTCTGAATCAGAAGCAGAAGCATTCTCTGGGTGATGAGAATGTGTTTGTTGAGGAGAAGAAGGAGGGTTCTTTGATTACTGATCATTTGAGTGTTTCTCGCAGTGTGAATGTGGTTGGCGGTGGCGATGATGGTCGTGGTTCGCGTCTGGTGAACCCCAGGTATGGTGTTGGGAGGAGGCAGGAGGAGTATTTCCCTGGTCCTCTGCCACTGGTTCGGCTGAACCCACGCTCGGATTGGGCCGATGATGAGCGGGACACGGGTCACGGATTGAGCAGAGAGGGCAGGGATCATGGTTTTTTTCCCAAGGGGGACGCATTTTGGGATTTTGATATGCCTAGGATTGGTGGCGTATTGCCTCATAAGCATGACAAGAGGGGACAGTTGAGAGGCAATGAAGTTGGGAAGGTTTTGTCCAGTGAAGTGGAGAGTTATGATAGAATGGGGCCAGACGGGAATTCTTGGAGAACTTCGAATGTGTCATTTTCTAAAGATGCTGGAAATGAAAGAAATGGTGTTGGTGTGAGGCCTTCAAGTGGGAGTAGGGATGTGGGGAAGGATAATAACAAGTATGTTCTGTCGCCATTTAGAGATGATGATTCTGGAAAGAGGGACTTTGGAAGGAGGGATAGTCAGGGTGGGAAACAGCAGCCTTGGAATAATGCTATGGAGTCTTATGGTCGTAACCGGGAGCAACTCAACAGGAACAGAGCTGATTCTGTGCAGAGCTCGTCATCTTCATTTTCCATGGGTGGAAAGGGGCTTCCTGTTAATGACCCTCTGCTTAATTTTGGTAGAGAGAAACGAGCATTACCCAAGAGTGAAAAAGGCTTTTTGGAGGATTTTGGAGGTTCTGGTTTTGATGGGAGGGATTTGTTTTCGGGTTGTCCTGTTGGGGTGGTCAAGAAGAAGAAGGATGTGCTTAAGCAAACTGATTTTCATGATCCGGTGAGGGAATCCTTTGAGGCTGAGCTTGAAAGGGTTCAGAGGATGCAAGAACAGGAGCGGCAGCGTATCATTGAGGAGCAAGAAAGGGCATTGGAGTTGGCTCGTAGAGAAGAGGAGGAAAGATTAAGGCAGGTTAGAGAGCAGGAAGAGAGGCAGAGGAGATTGGAAGAAGAAGCTAGAGAGGCAGCATGGAGAGCAGAGCAAGAAAGGATTGAATCTTTGCGGAAGGCTGAAGAGCAGAGGTTAGCTAGGGAAGAAGAGAAACAAAGGATATTTTTAGAAGAAGAGAGGAGGAAACAAGCTGCTAAGCAGAAGCTTTTAGAATTGGAGCAAAAGATTGCAAGAAGACAGGCTGAGGCGACCAAAAGTGGTGGTAATGCTCCGGTTGTTGTGGATGAGAAAATGACTGTGACAATGAATGAAAAAGAAACATCCAGGGTTACAGATGTGGGTGATTGGGAGGATAGTGAAAGAATGGTCGACAGGATATTAACTTCGGCATCTTCTGATTCATCAAGTGTGAATAGGCCATTGGAGATGGGTTCTAGGTCTCATTTCTCTAGAGATTTATCTTCCACCCTCGTGGATAGAGGAAAACCCGTTAATACATGGAGAAGGGATGCATATGAGAATTGGAGCAATACAACATTTTATCCACACGACCAGGAGAATAGTCACAACAGTCCCCGCAGAGATTTATCAATAGGGGGAAAGCCATTTATGAGGAAAGAATATAATAGTGGGTCTGGATTTGTGTCGTCAAGGACTTATTACAAGGGAGGGATTTCGGAGCCCCACTTAGACGAATATGGTCATGTGAAACCCCCGCAGAGGTGGAATCAATCTGCAGATGGAGATCATCTTAGCAGAAATACAGAGATTGATTCTGATTTTCATGAAAACTTTTTTGAAAGATTTGGTGATGGATGGACACAAGGCCGATCCCGGGGCAATCCATTTCCTCCATTCCCCGAGCGTACTTATCCAAGTTCTGAATCTGATGGACCCTATGCCTTGGGGAGGTCACGGTATTCTGTCAGGCAGCCTCGAGTACTTCCTCCTCCTTCATTAGGTTCTGTTCACAGAACTTACAAGACTGAAAATGAACACTCCAGCCCTTCTGCTTTCCTAGAAAATGATATGCATTATAATCAGACAACAAGGAGTGAGTCTACTCTGCCAGCTGGTTACGACAATGGGAATCGTGCACAACATGAAGTAGTGGATGTCAGGCAAGAGACTACTGAGAATGAGGACCGTAAAGTGGAAACCACTCCAAGGTGTGATTCTCAGTCTTCACTATCTGTTTCAAGCCCCCCAAGTTCTCCAACACATCTCTCTCATGATGACTTAGATGACTCTGGAGATTCCCCTACCATATTGACTTCTGAAGAAAGCAAAAGTTGTCCCCTTCCAGCTCTAGATAATGAATCCATTGCAACACCTGTTGTTGCTGGAAATGTTGTTGCTGGAAATGAGAATGTAGGTACTCCATGTGCTGTCTCTAGTGGTGATGATGATGAATGGACTACTGAGAATAATGAGCAATTCCAAGAACAAGAAGAATATGATGAAGATGAAGATTATCATGAAGAAGATGAAGTGCATGAAGGAGATGAAAATGCTCAACTCAACCAGGATTTTGAAGATTTGCATTTACAAGAGAAAGGATTGCCCCACTTGATGGATAACCTAGTATTAGGATTTGATGAGGGTGTCCAGGTTGGGATGCCCAATGAAGAGTTTGAAAGGACATCCAAAGATGAAGAAACTACATTTATGGCTCAACAGGCTGACATCACTCTAGAAGAATGTGTATCTTATGATAATGCACAGGCCGATGAGAAAGCTCTCCAACCTGTGGATGATACCTCTCAGTTAAATCTTAACAGTAGCTCTTGTGTATTCCAGGAATCAGAGAAACCAGCTCAAGATTTGGTCATTCAGCCTAGTAATTCTCTTTCTTCTGTGGTGTCTGAGAGTTTAGTTAATGTGGAAGCTTCTAATTACCATAGTACACCAAGTTCAGTTACTATTGCCCCTCACTACTCATCTTCTTCTGGTCAAGTTGTTACCTCTAATGTAGCTACTGCTCCAAGTCAAGCTGAGTTACCCATTAAGCTTCAATTTGGTCTGTTTTCTGGTCCATCTTTGATACCATCACCCGTACCAGCCATACAGATTGGTTCTATACAGATGCCACTGCATCTGCATCCACAGGTTGGCGCACCCCTCTCTCACATGCATCCATCGCAGCCTCCTTTGTTTCAATTTGGCCAGTTTCGATATACATCTCCAATATCACAAGGTATAATGCCTCTGGGTCCCCAATCAATGTCATATGTTCAGCCTAATATACCATCCAGTTTCTCTTACAATCATGGAGGTCATATGTCAGCTCAAACTGGTCCAGAAACTTCTGATCCCTTTATAAAAAATGAGATCAGACATCATTCTGTTGACAGTCATCCAAGTAATTCAAGAAATTTATCGTCACAAGGTTCATTGCCAAGTGAGGATGGTCGAATTGAGGCAGCCCATGATCCTAATAATAGCTCTAGGACTTCTACTATTTTCCAATTGGACAAGCAGGGGAACCAAAGTGTAGTTGGAAAGAGCAGCAGTTCTAAAGAAACAGAAGTTCATTCTGTGACCAGGGATGCATCACTTCATTCGGTTTCAAAAGATAATTTTATGGAGTCAAGAACACAATTTCCTGCATCTGGTGGCAGGGGAAAGAGATATGTCTTTACTGTAAAAAATTCAAACTCAAGATCATCAGGTCCAGCTACTTCAAGGGTGAATCACTCTGGGGGATTTATGAGGAGGCCTCGTCGGAATGTGCAACAGCGCACCGAGTTTCGGGTTCGGGAAAGTGCTGAGAAGAGGCAGTCCACTAGTTCAGCTTTGATTGATCAATTTGGTTTGGATAACAAGTCAAATATCAATGCAAGGGGGGCAGGCATATCTGGCAGGACTGGACCTAGGAAGCCTATGGCCAATAAATTGGGAAAACAAACCGTAGAATCAGCAGAAAATTCACATGGAATGGATTCTGGAAGCAGAGTTGAAAAGGTTGATGGTAAAGACTCAACAAAGACTCAGACCTTCTCACATTATGGACAGAGTAATCTCAAAAGAAACTTGTGTTCGGAAGAAGATGTTGATGTTCCATTGCAAAGCGGAATTATACGTGTGTTTGAGCAACCTGGAATTGAAGCTCCTAGTGATGAAGATGACTTCATAGAAGTTAGGTCAAAAAGGCAAATGTTAAATGATAGGCGTGAACAGAGAGAGAAGGAAATTAAAGCCAAGTCTCGGGTTGCAAAGGTTTTAATTTCTATATCAACATATAACCTTATATTGTGTGTTGCATCTTTCTTAATTGTTTTTATTTAATGCTAGGTTCAACGAAGACCCCGTTCTGCGTCTCAAAGTGTTGTGGCTGTAGGCAATTCTAGCAAAGGATCCATAATTGCAGGTGAAGTTGCAAGCAGTATGCATGCTGATTTTGTTGCTGAAGTGCGTGGAATGACAAAGATTGATGCCTCATCTGGATTTAGTTCAAGCTTATTGTCCCAAGCATTACCTCCAATAGGCACACCTCCTTTGAAAATTGATGCCCAGGCTGATTTAAGATCACAGATAAGCAGGTAGTTGCTGTGTTGTAAGATTTCTTGGTGGCCATCTCTACAAAAAATTAATGTATATTTTTTCTTTTACAGACCCTCACTTCAGACAAGTCTCCCAGCAGTTTCTGGTGGTGAAAAAGACCCTGGTGTGATATTTGAAAGCAAGAACAAGGTTCTAGATAATGTTCAGACATCTTTGGGCTCTTGGGGCACTGCTCAAATTAGTCAACAGGTTTTAACTTTACCTCCCTCACTTTGTTAGAGAACAAACAATGGCAATTGAAACTCTATTGTTTGTGATTGTACTGTGTATTTTGGCTGTATTTCTTTAATGCCTGTTTATTTAGAATTAACAATTCTAGAAACACGGTTTAATTTCATTCATGTATGTCATCCCCTTATGTTTCATAGTTGCATTTTAACTCCTTCAAAATTTTGAATGCTTTTTTCTTTATATAGTTTAGTTCCACCGATGAGTTACCCCATAATATTTTGGAGGGACTGCTCCTTTGAAATTTAGAATGGTTTTTTCTTTCTTTAGTTTAGTATCACTGAGGAGTTATCTCATAATCAACCATAATCAAATTTTGCCTTTATGATTCCTTTGGAGGGACTGAAATGTTCTTATTTTTTTTGGGAGCAAATAGTAGTTCTGATATTTTAGAGGGAATGTTTGGGGGGATCAAAACGGTGTAATTTAAAGATGAGAAATTTGAGTTCAGGCATATGCATAAATATTTACTTTGTCCAACCTTTTCGTTGAAAATCTAAAACAATTTTATGGCAGGTAATGACACTTACACAGACTCAACTTGATGAAGCTATGAAGCCTCAGTTTGATTCACAGGCTTCTGTTGGCAATTTGTCCGGTGCTGTTAAAGAACCCAGTTTGCCAACATCATCCATTTTGACAAAGGAGAAAACCTTTAACTCTGCAGTCAACCCAATTAATTCCTTGCTTGCAGGAGAGAAAATTCAGTTTGGTAAGCAAATTTTTTTGTTTAGTCATTTATTTGATTATAGCAACATTGATAGGAAATTATTTTGCAGTTTTAGGTAATATTTCTGGATTTTCAGTTGCCTTACTGATGGAGGATATTTCTTTATGTATTCAGGGGCAGTAACATCACCAACCGTTCTTCCATCTAGTAGTCGTGTGTCTCATGGCATTGGTCCACCTCGATCATCTAGATCGGACATGCAAATATCCCACAATCTTACTGGATCTGAAAATGATTGCAGTCTCTTCTTTGATAAAGAAAAACATAGTAATGAATCTCATGGTCATTTAGAAGATTGTGATGCAGAAGCTGAAGCTGAAGCAGCTGCTTCTGCTGTTGCTGTTGCTGCCATTAGTAGTGATGAGATTGTTGGAAATGGATTGGGTACTTGTTCTGTTCCTGCTTCAGATGGTAAAAGTTTTGTAGCTGCAGATATTGATAGGGTAGTAGCAGGTGAATCTTCTCCCTTGGTTTTAGACATTAGTATAGTCTTTCTTTTTTCTGAACATCTGTTAATAATTTTAATTAATATCAATTTGTATTCTGGAACTTTCTATTTATTTAAATTAGTTATTTGGGCAGGAGCAGCTTGTGAGCAGCAATCAGCTGGTCAATCTAGATCTGAGGAGTCTCTTAGCGTATCTCTTCCAGCAGACTTATCTGTGGAGACTCCGCCAATTTCCTTATGGCCTCCCATACCAAGTACCCAAAATTCTTCTGGTCAAATGATTTCGCATTTTCCTTCTGTCCCTCCTCATTTTCCTTCCGGCCCTCCTTCTCATTTTCCTTTCTATGAAATGAATCCTATGATGGGTGGTCCTGTCTTTGCTTTTGGACCACATGATGAGTCTGCATCTACAACACAGTCACAGTCTCAAAAAAGTACTACAACGGCATCAAGGCCAATTGGGAGTTGGCAACAGTGCCATTCTGGTGTTGAATCTTTTTATGGACCTCCAACAGGGTTTACTGGACCTTTTATTGCTCCTCCTGGAGGCATTCCAGGAGTCCAGGGGCCACCACACATGGTTGTTTATAACCATTTTGCTCCTGTTGGACAATTTGGTCAAGTTGGTTTGAGTTTCATGGGCACCACTTATATCCCATCAGGAAAGCAGCCTGATTGGAAACACATCCCTACATCTTCTGCCCCGGGGCCTGGGGACGGGGATATGAACGGTATGAATATGACATCTTCACAGCGGAATCCTGCTAACATGCCTTCTCCAATTCAACATCTTGCTCCAGGTTCACCACTTATGCCAATGGCTTCTCCTGTAGCTATGTTTGACGTTTCTCCTTTCCAGGTAAAACTTTGATGTGTTCTACAGTTTATTTCTACAATAATAATACAAAACCTTCTAAGCGTGTTGTATAGAATTTGGGATTTTAATTTTACTATAGTTCTTGATTGGAATCTGTCAATATTATAATTCAACTTTTTTACAAAAAGGACCGTATATACTTTTTTTTTTTTCATTAATTAACAATTGTGTAAATTTTTGCCAGCCCTCTACTGAGATGTCGGTACAAGCTCGATGGCCACATGTTCCTAATTCACAACTTTCATCCATTCCTCTGTCAATGCCATTGCAGCAACTAGAAGGGTTACAGACTTCCCAGTTCAGCCATGGCTCATCTGTTGATCAGCCCTTAAATACCAAAAGGTTTACTGGTTCTCGAGTTTCAACATCCTCTGATGGTGATAGGAATTTTCCTAGAGCTGCTGACATGAATGTTAACCAATTGCCTGATGAACTTGGATTGGTGGACGCATCAAATTCTACTCTTGCCAAGACTTCGGCACAAGATGTCATCAACAAGACTCCTACGATCCCCATTACAGATGGTGTGAAGGTTGATGTTCAAAATGCAAATGGCAGCAATAGTAATAACCAGAATGCAAGTTCTTCTTTCAAGAGTCAGCCCTCACAAGTTAATAATTCTACCCAGCAGTCTGACCATTCCTCAGGACATACTAGTAACTATCAGAGAGGTGGTGGTTCTCAAAGAAATAATTCTGGGGGTGAATGGTCCCATCGTAGAGGGTACCAAGGAAGAAATCAATCTCTGGGTGCAGATAAAAACTATTCCTCGACAAAGGTGAAGCAAATATATGTGGCTAAACAGACCATTAGTGGGGCATCGTCAGTGTCATGAGGCTCATGAAATATGAGCTGGATTTGAAAAATATTAATTTTTGGTCTGGCTGAAATAAATTTTTTGATTGAGATGATTGTTAGATCGAGATTTTTGCTGGCTACAACAAAATTCCATACTCTGGAGAACTACTATTTAGCATGGTAATGTGACTTTGATATCGATCAAACTTGGTCGATCTTTGTTTCTTTTTGACGGTAGAAAATCAGGAAGTATTTATTGTGCTTGTGTATGAAATCATTAGTTGTCGTATATTCTTTCCATGATTAAATGGGAGGTATCAGTTTTGAGAAATGCTAGTTTATTGTCTATTTCATTTGGGTTTAGATTGTTTTGAACTCATTTATTTTTAGAGTATCAAGACCAATTAGAAGTTGATTGTGGGTTGGGTTGAGCTTCGGTTTTAATTTGATTAATTTTAAGTGCTGAATAGGAGCCTGGCAAAATTCTGTAAGTTCATTTAAGTGTGAATTAGGTCCTTGCAGTTATTGCAATTTTTCTATTTCCTTTGCTTGTGTTTGTTCTTTGTTTCATGTGTCATCTGATCTCATTTAGAAGGAATAAAACATAGCTTGTGTTCTGCACTTAAAAAAATTGGTTAAACATTACCAATAGATGCACAAGCAAAATAGTTATTATGTGCATGTTTAGTTTTACGTGAAATATGTTAGAATTATGTTCAAATAATAGTTGATTGTGATTTTAAGTAAACTTTTATATACCGAACTTCATGTGTAATTAATTTTAGGTCTATAATTAATTTTGAATTGAAACAATAGCTTGTGTTGGTTAAAAGAATTTATACCGAGTTTAACTATTAACTTGTGCTTAAAATAAAATTGTTTAAACAAATACTTCGTTTTAAAATTAATTTAAACTAAAATCAATTTTAGAATTTTTTTGGGAAATGATTCTGCGAAATGCTTATCCAAATACCCTTCACTGATTTCGCGCTATTGACGTTTGTCCTATGCGACGTATGTGGTGCAGGCTCCCACCCTCACGGTGGGAAACTAATGTCAACCGTTGGATCTACAGATTGAAAGCACAATTTTAAAAGCATAACCGGATAGAGAAAATTCAAGATTCATATTTTTAAAAGTTAAATAAACTCACTGGCTGTATCCTGTCATTTCACATTGGTAGTCATAAACTTTCTATTTAGACATTACCTATTTAAAATCCAAGTACTTTGATACTTCTTTCACTGTTTATGAATATATATTCAAATTTATTATTTACATTTTAATTAAGATATTATTTCATATTTTAATAATAAGTATAATAAATAAATATTTAATTATATTTAAATTCAATGTAATAAAATAATTAATAATTAATTACAAATATTATAGAATTCGATATATAGTTGTAACAAATAAAATAATTAAATTAAATTTAAAATACTAAATATATGAGATAAAAATAATACAATAAAATTATAAATTCTCACAGTAAAATTAGAAGTTAAAAAGTATGATTTCAGTTGTTATTAAAATTAATATATTATATAGTAAATATCTAATAATAAAAAATTAAATTAACATTCATTTCAATATTTTTTTTTATCTTAAATTTGTTTGAATAAACAGCCAATTTAAGCCTTAAACTATTACTCTATTAGGTTATATTTGACCCATTTTTATTTTTTTTTAATAAAAACCATTTTATAGGTAATTCTCAAAGTAATGAATTTAAAAATTAAGTATAAATTATTTGGTTTTTTTTTATATGTAATATCGGTTAATTAAATTTAAGTATTAATTACAAAAGATAGAATAATTACAAACTTTTATATGATATATCAGTAATATTTTGAGAAGATAAAAGTAAGTTATTTAAACAAATTTATAATTTATAATATATTAAAATATATTTAGTAAATAACTCAAGATATTTAATAAATATATTATTGCAATTAGGAATTCAAAATTCAACTTCAAATTAAAAAAAAATATAAATTAAATTTAAATATTAAAATTATAAATAATTAAAATATAATTTTTAACTATATTTTTTTAAATTATAAATATATTTTTGTTTCTCAAGTATTATAATTATACAATTTTGATATTGATATTGATATTGATATTGAGTGAATTACACCTCCCAAGTAATATAATGGTGTGACTTTAGTTCTTCCATCAATCTTCATTTAAAATTCTAACAATTTTTGTGGATGTGGGACAAATGATATCAATATGGTGTTTGATATGGATGTGCTGATGATATGATGTGATAATGTGAAATGCAAAATAAATAAATAATTAATTAATTTATTATATGTTGAAACTCATGTTTTCAAATGATCAAATAATGATTTAATATCAATTTTGGTTTCTCAACTAAGATAATTGTGCGATCATGGTCTCTCAAGTTTCAAATAAGTGATTTATATTATCAAGTATTGTAATTGTGCAATTTTGACCTCTTAAAATTTTATGAGTAAATTACATTATTCTCCTATGAGATATGTGAGTATTACATTGTTCTCCCTTATTATATTAAAATATATAATTTAATTTATTTAACTTAGCGTCGTTAATATAAATTACACACCCTCTCCTAAGAGATGTAAGTGTTACACTATTTACCATTCACATATTAAAAGATCAAATAAATTATATGTTTGTCCCTTCGAGATAAAATTATTATATTATCACTCACCTATATTTAATGTAACATCACTAAAGAATAATCATCATAAGTGTAACATTCTAAGTTTTCTAAAATGATTAAAAATGTGTTTTAATCAATTAAATGACTTTTATAAATATTTTAGAGACTTTTAATTATTATGAGTGTTTTTAATTAAATAATAAATGCAAAAATGTTTTGTATAATATTTATTGGAGAAATATGTGTTTTTATGATATTTTGTTATAATAAGTATTTGGAGAAAAATATTTTATTATAATTGTTTTATTTATTTTATTTTATTTATGATTGTGTTGGAAAAAATATGTTTATTTATAAGTTTTAAGTATTTTAAGGGAAGGGGAGCATAACCACGATTATTTGATTAACTAAAGGTTAAACATGAGTTGGGAAGTTTTCAAAGGGGTTATACCAACTTTATGTTTTACGCTTCTCATTTTTCCTTTCTTAGGTTTTTGTAGTCTCAAGAATTGGGACAACTAGAAATTGTTGGAGATCACCTGAAGATCTATGTCCTTCATCTAGTGTTCACCGAGGTAAAGGGGGAGTGAGTAGTCTCACTCTGAGCGTGAAATATATGTTAGATAATGAGATTGACCCCTAGTCTCTTTCTCTATCATATGCATTGTATGAAGGAGATAATCCCAATTTCTTATCATGACTTGCAATTATATATTTGATATGATTCTTTGGTATCCTAATTGACATAATTGATTAGTAGGTATAATTAATTGTATGCAATTACTTGAATCTTGTAGATTTGCGAGTCCATGTAGAAACCTTGATTTATAGAGTGTGAAGATTGATGTTATCTGAATGATGTATGTGGATTAATGTTTTATTTGAGAAATTGATGGTTTAATAGAATGATTTTAGACTTTTAATCTATGATTTTATTGATTGGATGGTCACTTTTGGGGAAATCTAGTGATGAGATGAGGCATGAGGTTCAAATAATTGAAGTTTGTATTTGTCAGATTGCATTACGAGTGTGATCGACGAGTCATGGGCATGACTAGAAAGTCACGAATGTGACCGACGAGTCACGGGCATGACTGGCAAGTCATAGGTATGACTGACAAGTCATAGGTGTGACCAACTTCACGGGTGTGACTAATGAATCACGAGTGTGACACATCTTGACCTTGACCCTCTGTAGAAATGTCGAACCAATCGGCAGCGTCACTGGCATCATGGTTGTGACTGGTGTCATAGTTGTGATTGGTGAGTCACGACTGTGACGCATTTTGTTGCTACTTTTTCTCTTTCTTTCCTTATTTTTTTCTCCATTTTATCACCTCAATTGCTTAAGATGAGTTATATTTATGAGTTTGAGAGGACCTAAGAATGGTTTGCTTAAGGATGCAATCTAAGTATTAGTAATTTAAAGAAGTAATTGAGTTAATGTTTGATAATTAAAGTGATGATAAATGTTTTTATAGTGATTACAATTGAGGGGTTTTAGTAGCATTGTAGACCCCTAAAATTGTCCGGGTCGGAAATAGTTCTGTAATCCTCTTAATTTGTGCTTCTTCACCTCCCTCAGATATGGGAAATGTTGTAACCAATGCATCAAACTGCAAAAGAAACGACAGATATTTCAAGGGACCACTCATAAGTGATCTTATTAAATAATTTGTTTAATATAGAAGACAGAAGGCATAATACATAATGATGAAGTACAGATTGACATAACAAGAAAAATAGAGGCTAGACTCTAATTGATTAATTTGGTTCTATGCATATGTCCAATATGGGTTTAAAATTTCTAAACTAACAATCTAGTGTGTGCATGTAGTGTACTAGTCTAGTGTTGATATGTGTTGTGTTCATGAGGCATGGCCAGGCTCCATAGTTTATTAGTAACAAATTACATTCTTTCTTCATTGAGAAAAGATAAAACAACTCAGTATCATATACTAGCCTCCTTTTCTCTTTTGACTAATATGCTACATATGGACATACCTGCTTAGCCGCCTTCACCAAGAAAAATTCAAAACATGTAAATATAGAAAAATTCAAAACATGTAAATATAGAAAAATTAAAAAGCTACAACAGTTTTCTGGCATCAGAAACAACTAAAGGTGCGAAGAATTCCAACACATTTGATATTTTTATTGCATTATTCCAATACCCCAAGAAGCCAAACATGAGATTACCTCAACAAGGGTCTGTTCAAAAGCAATAGACACTAGCTTACTATTAAGGGTTTTCGTGCGAACTCTTCAACTTTCACTAATACCGGAAGCTCTCGTAGATTCAAAAGTTTGAAAGCGGAAAAGAACAACATACCCGCAGGAGTTAGGGTTTTCGATGATGATGTTTTTCATGGTCTGAGAAGAGTCTGGGTGCTTACTATTAAGGAGTTAGGGTTTTCGATGATGATGTTTTTCATGGTCTGAGAAGAGTCTGGGTGCTTACTATTAAGGAGTTAGGGCTTTCTTTGGAGAACGACGGGAATCAACTCGGTGCAGGTCACGTGACCTACAGCTCGGCCTTTGCTTTTGAGACTTCCTCTACCCACATCTTTATGTGCTCGCAGCACTTCCATACGGAGAAAGATAGGCTTACCATGTTCCATCAATAGCACCTAACCTATGCCAATTTTGGCGGACTGTGCTCCACCCCGGTGAACTCATGTGGTTTCGACGTGCCCAGAGGCCAGAGGTGAATCCATTGGACTTTCTTCGGAGAGGAAGGAGGGAGGCTTTCTTTGGAGATGGCGCACGCGGGTAGGGGAAGTTATCCAATTCTACATCGGTCA